TCATCTACGAATTAGTAACGTGTCCTTTGGGAGGGAGAGGTTTTGAACGATCAGGCATCAAATGCGCATCAGCAGGGTCTTCTCGTCTAAGCATGAGAGCGTCATTTTTCCAGTTCGCACAAACACAACCGCCCGAGCTATCAGAAGCAGCAGCGCGTGTGCCAGGTTGCTGCGAGCCCAACGAGTTGCACTGGTGCCATTACACAAAACAACGACAGCATTAACAACAATAATCATCATCACCACCACCACCACCATCACCATCATCATCACCATAACAACAACAACAACAACAACAACAACAACAACAATCGCCTGTCGTGGCCGCAGTTTCGAAATGTTAATCAAGCGAGCGGAGCTGTAGGCAAGGGCGCGCTAAGGGTGGCCAGAGATCATGATCAGCTGGGCTCCGGTAGAAATAGACAGAGCAAGCTCGATTCGAGAGTTCTGCCAAAAGACGAAGCGAGCGTCATGGAGCGGGCCAATCAAATTGTCATGTATGTAAAGATTGTGCCGCCTCCGTGTTATTTTGGTACGACTTTTTGGTATGCCCGAACGTTTTTTATCGTTCCTTGGATAAGTATTTTTTAATGGGTGCAATTTTTCGCTCTGAGAAATTTTAATTTCGAGTTAAGTTTGTTATTGCTTTCAATCAATTTCTCTTACGAATTGTTTTGGCATTGCATTACTATCTAAACATTACTTCCGTTATAATTAATCTAATCAATGTAATTGTGGGCTACGATCAAACTGAATTTATTCAACCAAATAACGACTTTGTGGTCTGTGATAAAAACGAATATTTAGATAATTCCGAAGAGCTTTGGGTTCCTTGAAACGTAATGGGCTAACGTTAATTTAAAAATTCCAAAAGTCCCACGCATCAAATACAATTAATATGCTATCAAAAAAATTATAATAAAATTGAAATAAATTTAATGAATTCATAATGGATTAGCGTTGAGGAAAAATGATTCGAGCGTACCTAAAAGTATGATTACTCATCGATAAATTCGCCAAGTTAAGATCATATTGAATGTAAAATACGAAGTACTATATATTGCATAGTATTGAAATTATTATTATTTGTGATTTAAATTTCATTCTCATTATTTATTGTATTTATTTACTTTACAATTATGATTTTTCGTATTGCTGTTTGTTTATTTATATTCTTTACTTGATTTGGCGGGTTTCCATTGTAGGGCACTTTTTATATAAAAACTGAGTTTAGACTTAATAATAAGATTAAAAGCTACACACGCGTTAAATGAAATTAAAAATAGGAGCTTTCACTATTTCTATTATCTACTGGCAGTATAAAAGCATCCATTTAGCAAGGCACAGTCTTGGTTATGGAGGGTGAAGGGCGTTTTTTTTTTTTAACTTTGCATTTACGTAGGCAATGGATTAGTAGAAGGGTATAATATCTTATACGTGTTAACGAATTAGGCTCGTAGCAGGGATCGGTTAATTTATTACGTAAATTATGCAATATACCTCAGATTTAATTACTTGATTAAAGCAATTAATTTTTCACGAGGAACTATATTATAATTTGAATTTTTAATAATTTTTATTACTTACCACGTTATTTGCACAAATTCGTTAAATTAATATTTTCGATTAAAAAAAAAAAAAAAAAAAAAAAAAAAAAAAAAAAAAAAAAATTATAATTATTCAACACAATTTTCTCATTCGACTGGTTATTTAATGAAAGTGTGCACATATCATTGTAAAAATATGTTAGCGATAAAAAAATTGTCTAAATAAAAAGTAATTAATAAATTTCCCATCCCTGATTAGTAGTAAAGGTTTTCTTATAGCGTCGATTTTTTTACACTGTAGTTCGCATTTACACAAAATACACTCCAATCCCTTTCGAATTTATCTTATCCACGCTACGCAATATATAAAATAGTTCATGCTCTCATATGTACATGTCATCGGCATAGTCATCGTCATCTAATTCTTTTTGACGACTCATTCATTATATCTGCTCATTCATTCGATTTCCATTGCTTCGTTTAAAACGTTACTTAGCTTTAATTCATTACAATAAAAATATCGTGCATGAAAACTACCATTCATCTTATATATTTTCGAGTAAATTAACTCAGAGATACAGATGAGTCAATTTGCTTGATAAATGCCGCTAATTATAATGTTGACATCTTTATACCTATTGCATGCTTTATACTAAATGAACTGTAAAATTTTTATACAGATTTTTTTCCTTTACTTTATATAGATTTTCATTAAATATCAAATTTAGAGTAAATGGTTGTAAATATATATGTATATGTATATATGTATATATGTATGTATGTATATATATATATATATATATATATATATATATATATATATATCATTACTGGGCTTTATATTTATATACTTATGCAAAGAAACTTAGTTTTTCCACAGTTACGTGCAAAATTTTTATAATTTTTTTGCAAGAATGACTTTAAAGGTATTGAAAAATATTGCTTACACAGTTGAAAATTATTATTGCATTATTTGTGATTTGATTATGAATGAGACTTCTAAAAAATTTAATTCAATTATTATAAATTATTATCAAATATTACGATAGTTCTTTTGATATAAATTTTTTAATTGGAAACCTTAATTTCAACATATCGTTATTATATGTTTGAATTAAAATTTTTAATAAAATGTAAAATATTTATATAATTGTTTAGAGTATAATAAGAATCGAAAATTGAATTATTTTGAAACAAACATAAGTGCTTACCTTACAGATTAAAAAAGAAAAAATAAGAAAACACTTTTGAAGAATAAAGCTTATCTCTATATATTTTCACAAGTTTTACGGCGTCTGATCCGTCAATTTTATCACACACAAATAATGCATCGTTCACATCAACGCTTTAATAAATATTCTTTAGTATGAGAGATTTTCTCGTAAATTGATTTTGACAATTATTTTCAACTATGTATCGAACAAAAAAAGAAAAATTCTTTACTTTAAAAGGGCTATGCTTACATAAAAGTTTTCTCTGAATATTCTATTAATTAATGCGGGGTGAAAGATCTCACGTACGCTGAACAATATGAAGATAGAAAGAATTACAACTAACTCGTACGCTTGCCGATGTTTTGTCATGCAGGAAAAACAAGTCATTCCGACCACGGGAGCGCGGCAAGAAGGGCCTAAAGAATCTTCAGACGGTAAAAACATTGGCTGGGAGGACGCAGAGCTATGGCACTGGGCCAGGTAAAGCAAGGAAGCAGCCGATGACGGTGTCAGCGCAATTTCAGCAGAGTCTGCACAGTTTGATGGATACTTTAAATCAGGCTAATCCCTTCTTCATCAGGTGTATCAAGAGCAATGCTAATAAGGTGCCCAATGAATTTGACGAAGAGACGGTTCAGCGTCAGCTCAGGTGCACCTTCTAGTTATTTATATATTAATTAATTTATCTTTTAAATTATGGTAAACAAGTAACTAGGGAACTTATTTTATTAGAATGAAATCTTAAGTGAAACTTAATTTATTGAATTCAGTAATGAAATTGTAAAATCGATAATTATCGTAGAAAATTCTGTCAAATCATTATTAAAAATGATAATTATTGACCTGACAGGTATACTGGAATGCTGGAGACCGTACGAATCCGTCAGGCTGGCTTCAACGTCCGTCTCACCTATGAGGAATTCATTCAACTTTATCGAATGCTTTTACCCAAGGGCCTTCTCAGTACACAAACCGACGTCCGCGATTTCCTCTTGACGTTGAATCTCAATCGAGACAATTACCAATTAGGCACGACGAAGGTCTTCTTACGCGAATCCGAGAAGATCAAACTGGACATTGAATTGCATCAGCAGATCATTACGAGCATAACTACGATACAAAAATGGTTCAGAGCCTGTCTCGAGAGACGAAAATTCCTAAGGCTGAAGAATGCCGCTGTTCTCATACAGGCGTTCTGGCGTATGGTGACTGCTCAGCGACTTGCGAGGTCCTTGAGGACAAGAATCGATGCCGCTATTCACATACAGTCCGCATGGAGGGCGTATAAGCAACAGAAGTGGTACAAAAAATTTAGATCAGCTGTAATAATATTCCAGGCTTGTGTTAGAGGGAATAATGTGAGGAGAGCCTTGACCGAATTAAAGAAAAAGAAACGAGGAATGTCTGTTAAGGAACAACGAGAGTGAGTAGCGCAATTACATCTTATTATTATCTTCTCTCTCTCTCTCTCTCTCTCTCTCTCTCTCTCTCTCTCTCTCTCTTATAAGGCTTAAAAGGCGCTTTTTAATCAAAATATATATAAATATTCAAGTCCTTCGATTTTTGTTCTTAAAAGTTTATTTTCGTCTAGAAATTCAACAGAAATCATGAATAATAATAAATAATAAAAAAATAATAATAATCGTTATTAATAATAATAAATAATCAATATCAATAATAATCCTATAACGATAGTAATTATTAATAATAAATTCTAAATTACTTAATGAGTTTTAAAGTATATTTAATGAAATTAAGTATCAAGTCTATAGTTTGTTAACCGTTTTTGCTCTTACGGTAGATCATTTGGTCAAGAATCCAATTCTTCTGGCTCCGTTGAAAGTAATTTACCATCACGACTGGAACTTAATAATCGAATAACTCACATAAGGTATACTCGCATTTACTGGTATTTAATGTAATTTAATTTCCAATTTATCAATGCACATACAGTCTATATTTCGAATGTTGTATGTAGATTTTTTACGTGTCAGTTCGCTTTCTCACGAGGCTCAACAAGAACGTATTCTAATCGTAATAGAGAAAATTGCTTAAAATTACTTACAGAAATGACAATTGCAGTCCTTACGAATCGTCTCCGGAAACTGGCATATCACTCTCGAAGCGCAAAATTATTCTCAATCGACGCATTTCGAACGATACGCCTGCGTCAACGAAAATTCCACTCAACACCGAAACCTATCCATCACCGGATGCCAACAATACGAGTAGCATGAGTACTACCACCACGACCACCAGTGAGCAACATCAGCGCAAGGGCAGTTTAGAGAGCCTCGCGAGTTTATTGAGTTATGAATCTCAGGTATCGGTGGAGTCGTCAGAGTCTCAGCATTCGCACGACAATGCCAATGCAAAGCCGATCCCGAGCACGCGTTTCCGACGCGGTGGCGGAGGTGTCGGCAGCAACGTCAGCAGCGTCGGAGGTTCGAGTAGTATCGAGCATCAGTCGAGCGTCCACACGACTTCGACGACGAGCCGCCTGTCCTCGGTTAGCCGGCGCACCGACAGCTCGTCGACCGGCTACAGCGACGGCGAGACCGATGCGGAAACACCGAGTGCGGTGCACAGTGCGCCGCCCGTGTTTAACGCAAGTGCCCCATCGTTCTCGAGTCCTCGGGACATCAAGTATCACCAGACGTACAGTCCCAACTCGGACATCTGGCGCAAACGGCCGGAATACGGGGTGCCGGAATACCCTTTGCAAGTACCGCATAAGCCGACGATTACGCGGTCGCCTAATGTCACGCAGCATAGAAATCTGAGCGAGGGCTTACTGGAGCAGGAAAGGCTCAACAGGCTTGAGAGACTGAATAAGACGTCGATTACGTCCACGGTGAAGATCGACAGCCCCACGAGGAGGGAGCAGAGGAGGGTCAGCGAGGAGAACGTGAGCACGAGTTCAAGTTTGTTGAAGCGCGAGCAGGCATACACGAAGGAGCCGAAGGATTATAATTATTTGAGAAGACAGAATTCCGAGGGTGATGCGAGCATTGCTGATAGTAGTAGCGTAACCGTGACAGTACCAAAAGCAGCGTTGAGTCCACAAAAATCCGAGCCCGATGTCCCGGTAAGGATTTTCTATATTGCGCGCGATGTTTGCGTATTTTTCATCGCTTCTTATAAATAATAAACAAGCATTAAGTGGTACAACTACATATGAATGACATTAAACTCTCGAGTATTTTTGGCACGTTAGGGCGTGCAGTTTATTTTTATAACGCTGTCTTACTAGTCCAACACACAGCTGTATCATCTAAACTATTTGTATTTTGCTGTTTTGCTATTGTGTATTATAACGCGAGAACGTTAAAAATTGAGGCCAAAGAGGATTATTAATAATTATTACCATGAATGAAAGTGTGAATGAAATATCGTTCCGATGACGATAATCTATTTTCATAAAATTTGTTACACAATACTTTTTCAATCCTAACGCAAATTAATTTCTAATCCTATTTAGATTGACATTAAAGTAAAGCAATTGAGCAACAATAGATATAGTTTTAATTTTAAACTTATTTTATAAGTGTTATGATATTAAATAATTAACTATTTATTTTTTTTACAAATCAAGAGAGGCTCAAATTATCAATATTTCTTAATTTTTAATTGTTATGTAATCAACTTAATGTTGCTCTGTCTTTCCTTTTCTTCTTCTTATTATTTTTTAGTTTTGCAATTTTTTATTACGTTACGTTACGTTTTAACTCTATTATTAATAATAATATAAGTCTAACTCGTTATTATTAGGTAGTATGTATAGTATTAAAATAAAAATAGTATAGACATGTATATTGTTGATTTTAGGTAAGAAGTGCCCGACGCAATAGACCTTCTCGTGAATTGCAATGCCGCTCAATGGGCGAGTCTGTGAATGAAGATACAACCGAAGTTCGCAATGTCCTTCTAGGCACTATCAAAGAGAGCGATCTTGCCAAGACAAATGTTTGGTCTCGCAAAGATGATAAAAAGCACGAGGTAGTCTCACGCTCTGTTACGGATTGGCCTGTCAATAAGAAGGATCCTCACTTTAAGGCTCAGTCTGCCGGTATCAAACGTGTTCGCTCAAATGCTATTACCACTATGGAGCTGCGCCGTCGAAATTCGGATCCTGCAACCAAAGTTTCGGGACTCGGTGATGATAAGGGCAATGTAGAAACAAGTCCGAATGAGCTAAAACCGGCGCCCGGAATGAATCTCCTAGAGTGGAAAGGGAATTTGTTTATACTCGCGGGACATCAGTTTAGGAAGATTGCTAGGTTCTCTAAGGATGACGTGTGTGTCTGCTGTCACGAAAAGATGGACGCTTTTGTTACTCAGGTTAATTATTTTTATGTACATTCACTCACTTACACTGGCAATGTTAAGTTAACCCATGGAGAGGCAATAAAGCGCATTATACAATATCTCATTCAATAGATTCTTAAGCATAATAGTTCAATCGTTTATTCGGAAAATATTGGTTAAAAATCTAAATGTTAAAGTAAATTTGAAAAAAGTTCGAATTTTTTAAAAATATGCTTTAGGAAAATTGAACTATTTATTTTAATGAAAAATTAAAATTAGCTCACTAATATATTTCCAATATAATTTCAATGTTCTTTATCTTTCTATGTTTGATAAAAATTAACTATGATCAATATCATATTTTACTCGTATGAATGTTACCCAGTTTTATTAGATATTACTTACTCTACCTGCATTTGCTGCACATAATTAATAAATATAATAAAGAAGTTGTAAGCTTGAATGTTAATTTAAATGTAGGGTTACAAGTGTATTGACTGCAAGCAGCCTTTTCATGTGAAATGTATTCAAAATGGTGGGGTTTTGAAAATGCCTTGTATACCAGCTAATACGCCGAATCGACGAAATAAGAGAAAACCACCGAGGACGCCGTACGATCAAGTAAAACAAGCTGTCGTGTCCAAATTCAGTCTTACAGGAACATCGGCCTTCTCAGATAGTACCGATAAAATTATCTCGGATGCGAAGGAATTAGCACTGATGCAAGACTTTATTACCAAGAAAATATATATTATGGACGGCCAAGACGATGGGAAAAAGCCACCCAGCGAAGTTGACCGAGTGTTTAAGCAAGCGTTGAGAAAATTCAAGGACGATCTCGTGATAACTTATAGCGTAGCTATACAGCAAGGCATCGAGGGCAACATCAAATATACGGATCTTATAGCAAATTTCCTACATGTTATGGAAACCGTTTGTAAACAGGAGAACTTGAAGGAAGATTTCCCATTAACGATGGGTGTGAATGCTTTCAGGGGCTTCATGAATGAATTTATGGCATTAGCAAAGACTGAATCAATGGAGAAGCAAAGCAAAAGCAAACGAAAGAAGGAGAAAAAAGAGAAGAGGAAGCAGGAGGAGCCAATCAAGCATGGGAATCATATGTTCCAGCTGACGATTATTAATATTCCAACGGCTTGTGAAGTGTGCACATCTTTCTTTATGTGGCCCATTGAACGAGGACTTATTTGTCAAAGTGAGTTTTCGCTCAAGCATTTCTCCCATAAGTGGTAACTTTATTACCAATCAGAAACCAATTCAAACTGACGTTTATTGGATATAAAAAGAAAGAGGCATAAAATTAAAACTTGCGAGGATAAACAATTTTTTACTGCCAAAAATATACGCCCATTAAAATTATAACAACTATTATAATTTTACATAATTGTACAATGAGCACATTTTAATCTTGTGTAATAAATTCAAATTTTTCTTGTTACAGTACATTTATTACTTTAAACTTTTGATACTTTGATATTATTGTGGTCGTGTAAGTTTAAAAATTTCGTATTAACATATGGTACATAAGTGACGCTGAATTACCAATGAGTAATAAATTTCTACATACAAATTCATTGCTTTAAAATTAATTGTAAAAATAAATGGCTAAAATTTCGCCTCCACCAGCATAATTAATGCAATTAGTCGATTAATAAATCCTTTCCTTTCCATCTTCAATTCTAGATTGTAAACTGACTTGTCACAAGAAGTGCTACACAAGAGCATCGGCCGAGTGCGGCAAGGATGGCGTTCTACACGATGCAAATTCGCGCAAAGTTTTTGGCGTCCCGCTTTACAAATTGGACTGCGGCGATGGCAAAGTACCACTCGTCGTCGATAGGTTAATAACTACAATCGAGATGCATGGCCTTTATACCGAGGGTATATACCGCAAAAGTGGTGTGAGCTCGAAAGTGAAGGAGCTCAAGGTTAAAATGGACGAAGGAGATCTAGAAAGAGTGGACTTTGAGAATTATCAGGTGCACGTTTTAGCGGCTGTGCTCAAAAGTTTTTTTAGAGATATGCCCGAGCCGCTGCTTACTTTCGAATACTACGATGATTTTCTTCACGCGGCCAGTTTAACCGAACCCCAGGATCGAATTAGGTAACATTACTGTCCCGTTCTCATATAATTTTAATGATTTTTCTAATGACATACCCAATCCATCAATGAAATTATTTTTTGGACAATCAAGAACGACCTCTCTCTCTTAAAATTTTACCATATTCTTATTATATTGTACAATTGCATTAATAACATTGTATTGAACAGATGAAATTCGGATAGAGAATATTTTAAAAGAGTCAAATATTTTTCCTACGATGTAAATAAAATTAATTATGAAAATACAGGTGTGCATGTAGCGTATTATATCAACGCATTATGTAATAAATATGAAATTCCATTGAAAATTAGCACTCTCTTCGCCATCCTGAAAAAGCTACCCAAGCCAAACTTCGACCTCATGGAGCGATTGATCGTCCACTTGGCTCGCGTGGCGTTGCACGAGCTTGACAATCGCATGTCGCCGTCGGCCCTCGCAATAGTGTTCGCTCCATGCATACTGCGCACCAATCGCACCCTGCCTGCCCAGGATTCGCTGCAGGATGTTGGCCGTCAAACGAAGTGCGTTGAAACTATCGTCCAAGAGAAGTTGCGCATCGTGAAGACGACCCTCGCCGACATCAACACCTTGGATTCGGCTTGCCACTCCGCAACTTACCGGCTGTCGAGTCTCAGGTCGTCAAAGATCTTCAGCCCCGAGGAGCTCAGCACGACCTTATCGGGTGTCGTCGCGGGCAGAGGGAGCAACAGCACTACCACGGATCCGGAGAGGGACCGGGAGGATGAGGAGGAAGCGCTGGTTGGACACATCCAAGAGATCCAGAAGGAAAAGGCACTTTTAACGTCGACTTTACCAAGCCGACCTCTTGCTATCTGCGACGGATCTTGATGATGGTTCGCTCGACGATCTCTTGCCCTCTGCTGGTGAGTAATTTTATTATTTAGAAAAATTAGATTCTCACCTCTTTGATTTCAAAATTTATTGTATTTTCTTTTAGTAGAAAAGACATTTTATATTTATTTCTACTCTACATTTTATCCACTATTATTTTCTCATAAAAATAATGATGTTCTGTAAATAAGTCTTGCACATTTCTTAAATATCATTATATCATTAAATCAGTTATTTTTGTTATAGACGGACTCGTTAGAAAGAAACCAATTCAAAGGCAAAGTTCAGCGGATAGTAGTTTCCCGACTATTATTAACGTAGATGAAGATATGGTAATGGTATGATCAATGGCGAATATACACAATACGTCTTGCCTTTGAAAGAGAGCCAATCTATTTACCGATCAGCTATTTCATTTACAAAAATAGCTCTTTCTGAATTTCTGGAGTTAATGTTCTTCCAGCGTACAATGTTCATAGTTAAGTATATCAAATGTAAACTTGGTCAACTTGTCTTCTCTCACTGACAGTCTAATATTTCGAATGCGCTGTAAGAATAACGGAAAAGATAGTTATACTTATGCATACATATATACATAGCATCGAAGAATACAATATTATGTCGATTCTCATCTTCCTAGAATGCATTCCTCGTTAAAGACTGTCATCTGCATGTGAGTGGGTACACGACAAACAAATGTTAAAAGAAAAGCCTTTCGTCGGTGTGTCGCTTCGTCTACGTTTTTCCAGTTTTAGGGATCCGCCTTTAAATAATAAAAAAAAAAAAATTAACACTCTGTGACTCTTGTGACGATGTGAAAATTCTACTCTTGATATAGATAAATGTAAGAGAGTAAGATATTTATGAATTAATAAAGCGAATCGACATAATTCGCTTAGAATCAAGAGATGTACGAGTGTGTAAGAATGAATGTGGGAGAGAATAATAACACTGCAACCCATGTTAGATGTCCTGTTCTTTTTTTTTTTTTTTCAAAGAAAATTTTCTCTTTTTATTTTGAATGGGCGTTTTTCTGTCTAGTATCTCTTATGTAAAAATGAAGAAAGAAAGAAATAGGAAGAGCGATTGAGGTAATGTACTCAAAGCGTAAATGAAGGTTTATAAAGAGATAGACGATAAACCAAAATATCTTACGTGTACATAATTAATCTGTTACTAGTGTATTGTTGCGATTTTTTGCGAATGACGTTACCAAGATTTATATTTCTACTATTGATTTTTCGTTAATTAAGGATCAACCTAATTGCGAAGCAATCGTACAGCTCTGTGAATCAATTTTTAGCGCGTTATTCCCTGAATTTATCTTGCAATTCGTTCCCCCTTGTATAAAAGAAACCCTTGCGCGCACGTAAGCGTTTTTGTATATTTATTATATACTTTTCTTTTTAAGTATATCGTATAATATAGACATAAGAGAAACCACTCACAGGGCGCAGAACTGATTGATTTTTTAAATCATAATCTCAAAAATTTCCATGCGTTAAGCATCTTGACATAAACATCAGAATAAGAAATAGGATTTAGAATATGGAATAAGAATAAGTATAACGCTTTTATTTATGAATGTATTTATATAATAATTATTTTATAATCCTTAAATAATAATAATTCATGAAGTGATACTACCTTTAATTTTTTTTTTTTTCAATTACTGAATGAAGTTGGAATTATAAACTATTTATAATAATTATGCCGCTCTTAAAATAATTTATTATATTAACAAAAGTATAATTTAATTTTAATTTTAAAATAATAAATTTTATTCACTTTTAATTAGTTTTACATCTAGTGAATACTAATAATTATTTTATATTTTATCGTTAATTAAAAATAGTGTCTTACAAAATATAAACACTACTTTCTAGGTTACAAATTTGCAATAAGTAATAGTTTTTTATTTATCTTATTCCTAGTTCTTACTCCCATTCTGTATTCTTATTTTTGTCGAGATTATAAGTCGATCTCGTATTTTTCATTGATCGATGGTTATTTTTCATTTAGTACATCAACGTTTAGACAAAGATTTTTGTTATTACTTATTGCATTTTGTCTTCAGTCTGATCAATTTTGACGACAAATTATTGCAAGATTTGTTTTCTGGGGTAAAAGAAATTTTGTCCGTTATTTAAAAATAGTTTGTATTTCTCACTGAAGCAGTAATCAATCATGATAATGTAAAAAGGGTTACGCATTTTGTTACTACTAATTAATCAGTTAATTAATTAATAAATTAAGTTTATTTAAAGGTTAATAATGTTGCGATCAAAAAAAAAAAAAAAAAAAAAAAAAAAAAAAAAAAAATACGTTCCTGTTTTACGCGTTGCGTTTCGACAGAAATTAGTTGAACGACGCGCAAGTTAAAATTTTTAATTGATATATACTTCGGCATGTATACTGTATAAAGTTTAATGTTAATGTTTTTTTAAGTCGGGTAGACAACTTTTTTAGTGTTTGAAGAAGCAAGAGATTGGCGGCTTTTTTAATGCTCGATGGTTCTCTTATGTTTTCTTTGAAATCAGGTGTAAAAGTTAAGAAAAATATTACACAGTTATAAGAGAATGAGTATGATTGTATAAGGAAATGTTGTGACTTATTGGGATCTTATCTATTTTTCTCTCGAGCTTATAAAGAATTTGTTATGTTTTTATTTTATTTTTTTTTTTTTTAAGTGTGAGTAAACGTAACCATGACGTCTAAGATCCCTAAGAAGTTATTATATAAGTAGAGTTGAGCGAACGAAAATATGAATGAAAAATAAAAAATAACATCTTGCAAACGATGCATCTAAGTCCTGTGGTATGTACAAAAAATGTAAAAAAAAAGAAGAAAATTCTATAATTTTTGAGATGAAAATATCGATACTTTTGTTCGATGAATCCTTCAACGATGGACATGTGGTCGCGTGTTTGCAAGAGTTTGTATTTTGAACGAATAAAAAGAAATGTATTCAATGGATAGAATACAATAGTTCTTTGTATGAATTAAGAAGTGAGTGATTCGTTATTCACTCAGACTTAAGACATGTTTGTCGTCGTGCAGTAATTGTACGTAAGCGAACATTTAAAATAAATAAAATGTACCTCTAGAAAAACTCAAATACTTACTACAAAAGAAAGAAAGAAATACAAACGGGACTGAGTTATTGTAAAATGACGAAAGATATCCTTGGCGAATATTATTTTTTATTCAAAATTTTATCCTGCTCTTTTTTATTTAAACAGGTTAATCATAAATTTTACACATTTAAGAAAACCGTAAGGCTCTTCCATATGTTATCGTTTTACAACGATTCTGTATAATATAAAAAGCGCAAAGATATAAGAAACAGGTAAAAAGCAAAGATGATCGACTGACTGCATTCTGTGCGGGGCGAACTTTTAAAGCAACAAAATGTCTGTATATTTTTTTAAACATACTATGTGATATATATGCGTATAAATAAAATATACAAAAAAGTCTTGATTTTTCGGCACTTTTCAATCATTCAGTCTGACATCAAACGCATACGCTTCTGTTACTCTGTCACTAACTTAGAAATACTTCTACGTAAGAAAATTATCAATTCGTGCAGAATCCAGAAATAAAACAACCATTATTCGAAATCAAATATTTAATTTTTTGAATGGTATTGCAATTTCGTTAGTTATACGGCTTAATATTTTCTTAAAATCAGATTTTCTTATAATACACGATTAAAACATAACTGTACTGCAATTTTTCAGATGCGGAAGTTTTCTATGTTTGCGTTGTTGTCGGGTCGTGACTCAAATAAGTGTGATACAAAATGATAAAATATTAGAATGATAGGAAAAAAATCTTCATGACAATATTAGGTATGAGAAACTCGTGATCATTAACGATTCAGATTTTGATTACGAGATTCCTGTAAATGAACAATTTTATTTTATTCTTTAATCGTACCAATTTTTAATAGCTATTAAATCATTAAATATCACGCAATTTTTCGTTTTAATTTTATTTCTTACATTGTTTACATGTTATCCATATTATTTTAAAAATATTTTATATAACTGGAATGTAATAGAAATGTAATAAAAAGTTGAATTACTTTTTAAAAGTCGTATATTTCAATTTTCTTGTCAAAATTATCATAAAAAATTAAAATGAAAATGTTTTACAGATTTATGTGAATTACTATAAATACGTCAATTTCTGAATCGTTATCGATATTTGTGATTGCTTTATAGTTTATTAATATTCAGAGAAAATATTTTAAAAATACAAATCTCAACATTGATCGCCAATTCAAATATTTGCGAATTGCACATATTAGATCTTAAAGCATTTGAAATTAGATATTATTAGAAAATATATCATAAAATATCTTTTTTTATAGCAAATATTTCTTATATGTACGTGACCAAAGCTATAATAATTTATTCAATAGTTATGGATTTTTAAAATGGAAGTTTTTAATATATATTCTGAATTCAGTTTTATAATGTAATATTTTTCAAAATCAACAATTTTTCATTCCTATTATAAACTACATATTGATGTATCTTTTTGTTTTTAATATGTACTTTGGTGTTATATAATTCTTAATAAAGCATTAAGATAATTTAACTATTTAATTGTAAACATAATTTACTAAATTCCAAATGAAGCTTTCAAAATATTAAAACATTGTTTCATTTTTAACTTTGTTCAAAGTTATTTTAATTTTGGTCAGTAGAATTTCTATTCTTAATTTATTATATGATAAATTATATTAAAATTAGTACATTTTTAATTATGTTTAAAGGGGCTGATTTTCATTTTATAATTTTGGTTACATACACGTTGGAATCTAGCTACATTTAACTCAATAAAATTTTTTTTGCGATGAATATTTAAGTATAAAATGTCATTTGGTTTCTGATTTAATTTCTCACATATTGTTTGGAAAATGTGTGACTACATGGTATCCACATTTTATGTTCGAATGATGCTAAGATTGCAAGTATATGATTGAATTTTATTTTTATATTTGTATAGATATAGTAATTTGAATCAAGTAACATATAATAATTATAATTAATTATATGATTCACTCAAATAAGTGTATTTTTAGTATTATTCGAATATACTGATTTCTGAATTTTGCTATCTTTTATATTTAGAGTAATATTTATGGCAAGTATGGATGTAATTTTCATATATTTATTATTAAAATAAAAAGTAGCTTATATTCAAAATTATTATTTTTAATCGAATTTATTTATTTCAGTAAAATTCTTAAATTTAATGAAAAATGTATTATAAAGTTTAATATAATAAAAATAAAATTATAAAATTAATTATTTATATTTGAAATGTAAAATTGTATATACACTCCGAATATGTCACTCATTGTCTTTGAAAAGCTTAGGTGCACATAAGCGTAAGATAATATTTTTTTTATGTTAAAAAATAATTAGAAATTCAAGTTTAGCATAACTTGGCCATTATGGTTTTCTTGTGTAGCTTTTAGCAATGAGCGTGGAAACTTATTTCTAACGAGTCACCGATTTTTCTAGTAAAGTTTGTCTTCTCTTTTTACCTACTATAGGCTTGTTTCAAGTTACATGAGAAATATGGACTGTTGCGAGCGAATGAATATCCGTACATTTTTTTTTCATAATGTAAATTAATATAAATATTGAGGTAACTGCATATGACAGAATATTCTGGATAGAAAGAGATACACAAGAGCTGGGGGAGCGGATTTACACTATACAGATTAATTTCGATTTTTGACGAAGACAGATTTATTTCTTAAATTATTCTACTAGATTAAAAAGTATTTTGAATACTTCTTAATGAAATTATAGTATTTTCGTTTAGATGGAGATTTCTCGAACTATTATTATTTCACAGATCATTGATAAAGTATTGATGGGTTAACGAAAATAAATTTTATTTTATATATACGAAAAATAAAAACATAGTTTATTACTAATCAATGAGT